AAAAAGAGAGAGATTAACCGATGCCGGAATCTCCTCGTAGTTGGTCGTAATCACGCTGCCAGTTACAACTAATAAATGCTGCCGTAATAATAATGGCCGTACAAAAAATAAAAGCTGGAGTAAGCAAAACCGAGTGCGGTGGGCGGCCGTGGCGTGGCCGGCGCGGTCGTGTGTCGGCACAACTAACCAGCCGATCCTCCAATCAACGCGAACTCCGCGTTTATGAGCCTCAACATGAGCTCTGCAAAAGCCCAGCTAAACGTAACTCTCAGGAGTACGTTTCAGTGAACGCAACTCTCAAGAGTGCGTCCCAGAACCAAAACGCAACTCTCAGGAGTGCGTTTCACAAACTGAACGCAACTCTCAGGAGTGCGTTTCTGAATCCGAACGCAGATCGCAGGACTGCGTTTCACTAGCACAACGCAGACTTTGGTCTTGCGTTAATCAAGCTAAACATGACCCTCGTGTTCCTTCTTTGGAACACGATGTGATTCGTCGTGTTCAAAATGATAGGGGACGGAGGGAGTACAAAAAGGAAGCTAGAGGATATAACTCAATTGTCTAAAAATTATACAAACTGAAGTGGAGGTATACTTACTCTGTGTGTAGTTTGAACATATGGAGATTTTCTAGACAATGCAACCTGCAGTTAGTTGTAACAAGTAATCAATAAATAGGAACAAGGGAGCCAAACATAATAAACTAATAATTTGGTACACTATTCCAGTAACCTGAATGCTTGCAGGTCCCCACTCAATAAAATTAACAAGCTTTCTTTCACGTATCCTCTGCAGACTTTCATGTACCTGCTTCCAAATTGAGAAATAAACGCATCAATATGGGGTAACTATAACTGCTGTAGATATGAAAACAAAGGTGGAAAATCACATTTATAAGAAAACGAATATCTGTGAAGAAGAAAAAAAATACTAATTGCTAATGTATTAGTTTAAGGCATATGTGTGAAGGGATTAGCTGGACAGCATTCTGATCCTAAAAGTAGAATGATATTTCAAGAAAGTTCCTTAAAATTAGATAGGAAATGGTTCAAAATATTTGAAAAGAGCTATTAGGCCACTGCACAAGAAAAGCCTTATAAGACAGGTCCACTACTTCCTGCTGTCTTAACATTAAAATTTAAAACCACATACATTTCTCCTACTCCTGCAGAAGTTACTTTCTAAAGTTTCTTCTCAAATGAAATTTCTTACGTTTGATGTTGAAATTAGGTGACAAAAGTCTCATCAAAGAAGATTTACAAATCAGCAATAGATTCATAATATTTAAGGAGAAAAACAGCTTGCAAGCAATAGAAAGTTAAAGCACATGAAGATCCCATCGAGTAGCTGGGCTTGATGCATACCTAAAGTTACAAACTGAGATATTCTACAAAATGATCCGAGAAATTACTGGAAAATAATAATCATAATGAGTTTTCTTTTACAAGAAATACCTGTGTAGGATCCACTTCTCCTTGAATAATATTCAATATTGATATGTATTTTGCTTGACTAGCTTCTTTTGTGCGAGCATATGAAGAGACCATAATGTTTTTCGTCTACAGAATGCCGACAAAAAACCAATGACATTAGGGTGAATATAAACATAAAAGATTTCTGAATAACACAATAACCTGCCTGCAGTAGTCTTCTCATTACATCCAACACAGTAGTCTTCCGAATCACATTGGCCTGCAAATACAAGACGTCCCTAAATCAGAGTTTAAACAGTGTACATTCAGCAAAATTAGTGTTATCAGGATTGAGTTGTGTCATAACCCATTGCAGTTAAATGTCAGATTATGTTTCAGCATATGGAACATGCATACATATGAGAGATACTACATACGTATTAACGTATGCACTCTCCGCGAATAACTAAAAAATCATCGAGTGCAAGTCAGACCAACATAATGAACAGCCGACTAAATATATCTAAAAGAATAATCTTTAAATAAATAAATCTCTATAAAGATAAAACCTAACCTGGCGTTCCACAGTTAGTGGTGTATATCCCGTCATCAGAAAGTGGCATCTTGGAGTAGGAATTAGCGAAGCAAGAAGTCCAACCAAATCATTGTTCATATAACCGGGATATCGAAGAGTGGTCGTACTTGCAGACATAACTGTGGAGACCAATGAATTTGTTTGTGCAAATGTAGGATTTGAAAGATGGAGACGTTCTACGGCAATCCTATTCAAAGCCGTATTATCAAGAACAACAACACAATCAGCATTCAGAGTCAGGCGCTTTAGAGTCAAAAGTGAATTGTAAGGCTGGACAACCACATCACTAGTTTCCATTTGATTAGGAAAAACACTATATGTCTGAACTAGCTTTTTGCTGTAACGGTCATTAAGAGTCTCCAGTATATAAGATCCCATTCCTGCATCCAAGAAAAGGTACCAGACGTAATCAATCAATAAAGGGTAAAGTTGAAGAATACTTTTAGGAAAGTTTCATGAATGAATAAAAAAGAACATAAAGTCCGCTACAACTGAACTAAAAATGAGAATGCATGATTGACGCAGAAAATGAAGGGCAACATATGCCCAACAAGGGGGACAAAACTACTTAAGAGAACAAATGTTATATTCATAACATTAGCTGCATGAGTTTTACATCTAAGCTTTTAAATAGCATATTCACCGTTGAAACCACTATTTATTGGCCCCTCCATATCACCAAGTATGATATAGAAATGATATCTCTAGATAGATAGATTGCAGGAATATATTGAGAGAAAACTTCAAAAGACAGTGAGACTCGAACAGTTAAGGGGTTGAATGACACAAGGCATAAAGTCATAAACATATGGAGAAGGGTAAAAGTCAAGGAAAACAAAGAAATAACCTGATCCTGTTCCTCCAGCAATTGAATGACATAAGACAAAACCCTCAAGGCTATCACTTCCATCTGCCTCTCTATCAACCATGTCCATGATATCGTCCACGACTTGCTCTCCCTATTAAAAAGCAAGCAATAAGAATAATTTAACCTACATGAAAAACATAACATTGCTCTCTACAAAGTGACCCGAAAACAGTAAATGTTTAATCAGTAAAGGAGAAACAATGGCATGTTACAACTTAGTTTTAAGACCTTCAAACACAAGACACTAACTTCAAATATATTCTTTACTAACAACAATTAGGTTGAAGGATTTATTTGCATAAAAAGTTTGCATATCAGTCCGAACATCGTGTAGACAGACCTGGTGATATCCACTAGCCCAATTATTTCCTGCACCCCCTCCATGTTCTGAGACGAATATGTTCTCATGGTTGTAGAGGTTCCTGTAGTCACTGTTTTGAATTCCGTTGATAACTCTAGGTTCAAGGTCCATCAAGAGAGCTCGTGGTATGTAGTGCTGATCATCTGCCTGATAGAAGAAAACATCCTTCCTATCTCCTCCCTGCAGTAGAGCTGGTGATGATCAAAATATATGCTATCTAGTTGTTATATGAGTTGCCTATAAAGCACAAAGAAGAGTGTAAAAAGGTACGAAAGTAAATAACAAGACTGAGAAAAGTACGGCATGCATATCAGACATCCTTAAAATACAAATTGTCAAGGCACAAACCCAAGGCTATTGTGCATGCCACAGAGTTCAATTTCTAGGCTGCCAATGCGAAAACTTTTGAAATTTTATGCCCCAGTTAATAAATGAAACAGCTGTTTAAGACTTAACTACTATGGAAAAAAAACTCCTTAACTTGCCATCACTTTTCTTTTAAAAATTGATCTGTGATGTATGAGATCGATCCTCAAATCCCACATCGCATAAGTTAAATCACATTGCAGGTGGAGAAAATTTCAAATAATATAAGCAAAATGAAGTGAAATGTTGCATGAAAGAACTTTCATCATGACCCAGGATAATTGCTAAAAGGTCTATTCTCGTCAACAAACCCTGATCATAACATCACATCACATAAGAAATAATCATGCAACAAGCAAGTCAAAAGACATCCTTCAAGATAAAAATGTGCCATTTTCCATCTCGTGAAATATTCCTAACTACGAAATAGAACTAAGCAACGTTTTGATCAAAATAACATAATGTTGTAAATACATCACATTATCCAAACTTATACTGCAATAGCAAAGAGCAAACACAACTCTTCATGGCCTAATTAAAAGTACAAAATGGGCAATTCTATTTCATAAACTTTACACAAATTCAACGTAACGAAATAAATTTTCACTTGATTCATAGTGAACCAAACAACCCCAATCTTTATGCCCTAATCATCCCTACGCATCAAAAGATTAGCCTTTTTAACTCATCCATATCTCAGATTATATCTTTTTCTCCCTTTTCACATAAAAAGGGATTAAAATGCACAAAATACGCACCACGCCATCAAAAAATCCAACTCCGTGCCCTGATCACTCGAACCGAATCCGACCAATGAATAACCAAAACCAGCAAAAATGTAAATCAAAACACAAGAAGAAAAAAAGAAAAATAAAAATAACAGAGGCGGGTCGATTTCGTGCCTGAGTAGCGAAATCCTCGAGAAGTCCATCTTTGCCGATGCCGTGCTCGAGGCAGAGCTGCTTCCAGAACTCCATGCCGATCTGATTCCCGCATTGCCCCACTTGGATCGTTATGATCTCGCGCGGCATTTTTTTATTTTTTATTTTATTTTTTGTTGAGAGAGTAGGAGTTAGAGAGTTAGGGTTTTGATGGAGAGCTTGCCAGCGTTTTGGGGGATTTTAGTCGGCTTCGCCTCTCTGAAGTGAGCAGGCGGAATGATTTTTGAAAAGGAAGAGAGAAACGGGGGAGTCAACGAGTCATGAGCAGAGATTTTGTGAGCGAGTGGCGATTTATCCGTGGCTTGTTTTCAATTTTATACCTCAAAGTTTACTTTTAACACTTTGCTAGCCCTAAGGTCAATCTCATTACAGTTTGATACATCAAAGCATTTTTTAACACTTTGGTATTTTTTACCCTAAAAAGGTTCGTTCTAATTTCACGTCTGATTTTCTGTTTTAATTTTGTATTAGTGTTCTTTTTTTATAACTCAGCCCGTAATCGAACACAAGATCGTGAGAGTCATATTGGAACCTTCTAACCGTTTGGATTATCCAAGATGGGTTGTAAATGTAGATGTTAAGAATGTAATTTAAATTTAACCAAAAAAAAATCTAAAAGACTCTGAAAAGGGGGTATTAAGCCAGAATGAGATTAGAAATTTAGTGGTATCAAAATGTTTAAGGATAAGAGCCAGTTTGGTATTGTTGGAGTTTATAATAAGTTTTTTTATATAAGTAGTTTATAGAAGTAGCTTAAATAAGTTGTTGAATAGTCATTTGGTAATCATATATAAAAGCTATTTCAAAACACAATTACATATCTTTGGTAAAATTGTCCTTAAAAATCATTGTCAATATATAAAGACCATATATGATATATAAACTAAAAAAAGTAGCTTTTAAAAACAGATGTTGCTTCAAAAAGCACTTCTTAAACAAGAAGTAATTTTAGATAACCATGTACAATAAATTTCATCAAACACCATTGTTAATTGTTTCTTAAGAAATCAGAAGCATCCATAAAAAAGAAATACCAAGCTCGCCTTAAGTATCATGCTAATTTATCCCTTGGCATGTCCTCTAGCAAAATAGATAATCACATCATGCTCCTATTGTTAGCATTTTCTTAAGGAAAAGGCAATTGTGAATAGTCCCACATTGGAAGTTGAAGAGAAGTTCAAGTGGTTTATAATGGTTCACTTCCTAATGGGCTTTGAGTAATGTTTTGGGCCTACTAGTGTTTGAGCTCTTTCTCCACACACGCGCGCGCGCACGCCACGCCTCGCCTCGCCACGCCTCGCCTCGCCTCGCCACGACACGACGCGCGCGCCACGCCACGCCGCACCGCACTCGGGTTTTGCTTCTCCAGCTTTTATTTTTTTGTAACGGCAGCATTTATTATGTAACGGCAGCATTTATTATGTAACGGCAGCGTGATTTACGCCCAACGGACGAGGAGATTCAGCATCGGTTACTGGTTCATGAGGCTATATAAGGAGGCAGAGTTCATTCGGGAAAACACACAGAAATTCACAAAGAATTTCATAGCTCCCTCTTCCTCCTTCTGCTACTCTTAGTACTCAAAGATTTTCGGCTACATATTTTGAGGATTATTTTTGGGCAATCATCTTCATCTGAGCAGAAGCTCTGCTACTCGCGCCCGAGTAGAGAGGCCGGCCGTTTCCGGGGGGCTTTTACCGCTAGGGGGGAGGATCAACTACGCCAGGGCGACAGGCGGGTCCTCTATCTTCTAGGGCAGTGTATCACGACTGCACCCCGTTCAGGCCTGATTTTTCATAACTCATTTATTTTCAGTTAAACTAATATTGTTTATTGATAGCATACTCATTATAACACATGTTGTCCATATCCATATAAAGTATTAACGCACCAAATTTCAAGTTGTTATGCAAATTTTAACCTGCACAAAAAGAAAGCTGCAAACTGGAATGTATTTCTCGGTGATAAGTATTTATACAACAACATATGCCAATTTCTCCTTCTCAAGATTACACTAGAGTCCCAATTGTGACCTTTCTCCGATTACAGAATATCTTCTGTTTTCTTAGCCTCCTCCCAAAGCTCAGGCAATGTTACGACAATCTTGCGAATGCTCATAAGCGCATAATTTACTCATTTACTCTGTGATTCACCAAAACCTGCAAATTACAAAAAATCAGACAAAATCAAGTCAGTAATTTCTTCTTCTTCTTCTTCTGGAATTTTTGCTACGAAACCAATTTACAGGAAACTTATAATTATACTCAACATCGATAGCCCTTATCAATTCTATTTCAGCGCGCCCCTAAGTATTTGCTAAACTTGTTAAAACCATCTTATGTCTGAAATACTAGTATAGAACAAAATAAACTGCAAAAAGTACTCCAGAATTTAGTGATACTCCATCTTATATGTCCTCCACCCACAAAATAAAAATGTTGGAAATTGAAGCTGCAGAACTCTAATTGAAAACCCAAGTTAAAAATAAGGATTTACTTTCCAGTCTTATCTTGTCTACATCTCTACTAATTTTAAAACTTCACGTACGGTATTTCAGTGTACCCCTGTATTTTAAACAAAACCTCACTCAAGTGAACCTATAATAATAAGTAGTATATAAGTATGGATTAATTTTTCTCCTATTTAACGATATGAAGGTTCCTAAGTCCTAAAATGCATTTCAAAATTGATGGCACGTAGGCAGAGCAATTAGATTTGTCCACTCGTTCTACCATACATAGGTATGTTACCTTTCCACCTTGTCTCCTGCTCAAACACGCATCCAAGTGTCCAAAATCTTTTATAAGTTATCACGTTGTCACATTGAAGAATATAAGCTTTTCTTTTATGCAATCAAGAAGGAAACCGCCCTTATTTTTCTATGCTAGCCGGTTAAATTTTAGGCGCCATGTTGTCCCCATCAGAATTGTTCGCAAACTTGGGTGGAGTTCAGCTGTAGTTCTCACCTTAAAAGTTGTCTTCGTATTGCCTACAGGTATTCTCTAAAAGCTTAAAAAATTTTGGAAGCTGATTTCATGGATATATTCTCTCTCATGGAGGGGGTGTTAGATTCTCACATTCTCTGCTCATTATCACATCAACAGACAAGAGCTAACGTATCTTTCTTTTGACGTGTGTTTGCGTCTAAATTGCATTTTTTTCCCCTCAAGAATATATTAAAGTTATTTGCGAATTATAGGCAGGATGGCCGACCAGAAAAGTCTAAAGTTCTAACGAGAGAAATCATCGATAAAACTAACATAATATAAGTAGCCAGATGAAGAAAGCAGAGGAGCTGGCACCCAGATATCAGAATGGACCAAATCAAATATGAAAGTGGAAACAGATGTACCGGTTGAAAACGGTAGAGTAGTGAATTTAGCCAATTTACAACCAGTACATTACTCAATATAAGAACGAGAGGATACGGGACCAAGTACTCCGGACTGGATAAGACTTTCCAGCCTTATATGAGACACATGACCAAGTCATCTATGCCACAAATCTGCGGAAACTAATGTAGAGGATTTTAGACTTACAGAAGCAACAAGAGAACATAGACGTATGGACTCAGTAAGGTGAAGATATTCCAAAAACTTCGTAAATGAATTTTGGAATATTTGCATATATATATATACCTCCTATATCTTACATATTTGCAATTTTACCTTCTAAATCTTGATATTTACAAAATCAACCCTCAACGTATTCGTATTGGGTTTTTCCACCACTCCAGCTCAACAATATTGGTTTCTAAATAGAGCATGTCAAAAACATTTAATAATCTCCAATAGATTTGAGATATTTTCTGTTTAAAGACTAAAACTGTTGAGTGGGAGGGGTAAAAAAACTCAATGCGAGAGAACAAATACCAAGCTATTAAGGATAATTTTATAGATATGGAACATTTGAGTGGCATATATGCAAAAACCGCATGATTTTTTTTTTTGCACAAATAGACGCGAACAAATAGCCTCCGAACATTCGATAATTATACTATTTTCAGAGCTTCATCTCTTTGTCCTCTTTAAATAACTCCAATCCCTTTCTCGCTTCAAACTGCAATCTAGGGTTCCAAATTTAGGAAATCGAAATCCAACTGAAAATGGAGCAGACCTTCATCATGATCAAGCCCGATGGCGTCCAGAGAGGCCTCGTAATTAATAAAAAAAAAAGCTTTGTCTTTATTTTTATTTCCTTACTGATTTTTTATTCTTTTGGTTATTTGGTGACATAAACTGCTTTTTTTTGGGTATTTGGTGACATTAACTGCTTATAAATCTTTGATGATTTCAGGTTGGAGAGATCATTAGCCGATTTGAGAAGAAGGGCTTCTATTTGAAAGGTATTTTCTTTTGGATTCGGTATTCCTTTTATTATTTGTAGGGATTTATGAATTTTTTTAGGAATATTAATTTTTGCGTGAAAAGTTGAGGAAAAAGTATGGGTATTTTAGCTCATTCAGGTCTATAATTGTAACTTTAAAAGAAGAAAGGACTGAAATTAGTTAATTTTGATTCAAGAATTATTGGACTCGTTTAAAGTACCAATTTTGGGTTTGCTAGCGCTGATTATGGTTACTTTTTTCTTTGTTCAAATTTAAAATAAATTATGAATCTTGGATAACTAGTGATTTGATTTTCATCTAAGGAAAAAAAAAGTGGATTTTATGAAAGCTTGAACTTCCTATTCTGTGCTGTTTCGGGCGTAGGTCCACGCTTGTGATTCTAAAAAGATACTATGAAATTTGGATAATGCTCTAATGGAGCAAATTAACACAGACAATATTCGTTGTCGTGCATTTTTTTTAAAACAAACTTTTATATTTCATTACAAAATCAACCCAGTTTACATTTAATTACAAAAATCAGCCAACTTTCAAAAAGTAGGTCAATTTTTTTATTAAAAAAGCAGATTTCTCAAATACCTACCTGGGATTGGCTTGGTATTTAAGAGATTTGTCTTTAAAAATACAACCAACTTTTTGAAAATTGGTTGATTTTTGTGATTAAATTTGAAATGAGTCGATCTTTGCAATTAAATATTAAAGCTGGTTTTTAGAAAATTTGTCCTTTCTTTTTACACACATATTAATTGGTAGAGTAAATGTGTGAATCTTTAGGTATTGAGTATTTCTATTTCAGTCTTAATTCTAATAAACTTTCACCATGCTTTTATTCTAAGAAAGGAGTATAGAACTTACTTAGGGTTGGATATTTTGATTTAAGTACATGTTTTGTGAATGTAAAGAGACATCCTAAATCTTGTGGTATTGGTACTTTTAGTATACCTATCCCTCTTATTTTTAGAAGAAACTATAAATTTGTAGGGATACGTATTTATCTTTGATTGTGTCTTTTGATCTAGCAGTGAAGGTTATCACTGTGAACAAATCCTTTGCTGAGAAGCTATAGCTAACTCATGGGGAAATACTATATTTAACTAATACATTGAATCTACACTCGTCTAACAAAAGCAAAAAGTCATAGAATGTCGTCTAATACTCTTCTTATGAGAAGAGAGTATAGAACTTAGGGCTGGATACTTTGATTCAAGTACATGTTTTGTGAATGTAAGGAGAAATTTTGATTCTTGTGTTATTGGCAGTTTTAATATAAGCATATCCCTCTTATTTTCATAAGAAACTATGAAACTATAGTTATGTATACATTTATCTATTGATATGGGGTCTTTTGATTTCAGCAATGAAGCTTATCACTGTGAACAAATCCTTTGCTGAGAAGCACTACGAGGATCTTTCCTCAAGGCCCTTCTTTCCTGCGCTTGTTAACTACATTATCTCTGGCCCGGTAGTTGCCATGGTTTGGGAGGGAAAGAATGTTGTTTCCACTGGTCGCAAGATTATCGGTGCCACCAATCCAGCAGACTCTGCTCCTGGCACTATTCGTGGCGATTACGCCATTGTAATGGGGAGGTAACTTTGATTTCTACTTATTGTTTCAAAGTAGTGAATTATTATTCTTAGTCCTTCTATACATATGAAAAATGTTCCACTTTTGCTCTATGATAGAATAGCAAGTCTGTGTTGTTAAATTTTGATGTTTGTCAAGGATAGGCGGGCTCAAACTACAGTATTAGTGTGTATATGTCTATAAATTAATCAGGAGTTTTTGATGGAACACTCTTGATTATGAGTTATGACAAATATAATTGTGTGAACTGGACGAATGATTCCCATTTGGGTAGCACCTGCCGCATAAAAAGTGGAAAAAGTATCTGAGTGGTTGATGGTATTTCTAAGGTTACCTGTTTACAGTTCTTGTCTGCATTATATATATGGAGCATTTGAGGCGTTCCATATGTATTGGCATTTAGAGTCTTGAGGTCATGCAGTAGAGAAAAATAGTCTAATTTGGCTTTGAGCTGCTATATGAAATTTAGGTTATCAGTGAGTGAGGTACTTATTTTAAGTCATAGAGGGTCATCAGATTGCTTTGAAGCCAAAGCCCTAAATAAAGGTTGATTTTCTTAATTTTTCGCTGATTGTTTTTAAGTTGTCACAGCCTGAAATGTTGTGATGGCAATTACACCGCTTTATCTAAACCATTTTAGTGGTCTAAGTTATGTTTGTTTTCTGAACTCGTAAATTTATTATCTGATGATATCAGACAGTAAATGTGAAAAAGTGTTCTTAATTGCTTCTCGGTAACTTATCTTTCTAACTTCTGTCATGCAGAAACATCATCCATGGAAGTGATTCAGTTGAGAATGCAAGGAAGGAAATCGCACTGTGGTTCCCTGAGGGTATCTCAGAGTTTAAGAGCAGCCTTCACCCCTGGATCTATGAGTAAATCTGCCATCTTTGCATCTGCTGCTGCTGCTGCATTATCCAGAGACTTACATGGATCTAGCCTTTTAATTAAGTGCCATAACTGAATTTTTTTGGCTTTTGAGTATCAGAAAAACACAGTGAACCTGTGGAACTTGTCGCGTGGTAATTATGCGTCTTCAATAATCACCTCTTTCAATATGTTTGGCCGCGGATTGTTTTGTTAACTGTGGCTTGGAACTTGGAAGTTCTGATGTGTTTACGTTTTCTTATGTAATGCATCTATCTTGTTTGTATTGCATTATATTTTCACAGTTCAGTCGGTTTCGAACCCAAATTGGGAACTGGGATCTGGCTGCTATGACATTTTTCTTTTGGACGCAAAGTATTCTTTCAGTTTAAATTCATCATAACAAACTGCACAAGGAGTTGCCAGAGATACATATCAATAATGTTGCACCAAGTAATCTGAGTTCATTAGTTTAAGATTTGTTGTCAACTTTCACCGTAATGGAACATATGGTAAGAATCTTTGTGAGAGAGAAAAATTAACTTGATATCAGATTTTGCGACTTTGGTATTTCGCTACATTGGTGGTAGACTCAAATCAGGGAAGAGGCGAATTCAGACGGCACTCTGAAGAGTGTTACCCGGCACTGTGATCTCTCTGAGCAACTATCAGAAAATTCATCTTTTATACTATTTACGGGATTCAGCTCCCATTCTGCTTCCCTTTTCAGACTATTCTTTTTGTTTGGCTAAAAATAACTTGAGAATATTACAGTCTCATGATGTCATACTACACGAGTCTAATGCTGTCAAGGTCTGCTTTAGCGGTAAGAGATCAGATTGAGGCCTTTATATCAAGTTTTAAATTCAAGACCAAGGATAATAAAAAACCTTAATATGAACACATTCCGAAACAACCGTGGGGAGAAAAAACACAATATTGAAACACGAGGAATATCTGAAAAATCAAACAAGCCAAAACGAACTATTTTCAACTACCAAGCGAGGAGTCCATAGGAGGGCATGTCTTCCACCCTTTGAATGTCTTCTAATAACAGCTCTCTTTCAAGTTGACGGCGAGCAGCTTTCATTACCGACTGAGCACAAAGAGATATTGAAACAAAAGAGGGTTAATTAGGGAACACATAGTAGAGTGGTTATTATAACCTTTTATTTTCATAAGTGAGGAAATGCATACATTGAACTCCATGTATGATGCACGCATCTCAAGCCAAAGATGATCCATCAACTTGAAAGTTATGCAGTACAGAACATCAAAGGCTCGCTCATTTTCTGTACCATAGTCAGAATGCAGAGTGACATAAGAATACGAACAATAAACTCGTGTCAAAAAGGAAGTATCATCCTTTGTTGACATTCGACCATAATCGATCCTAGGTTTTCTCCTATATTGTCAAGCCCTTAAAAAAGAGTCCAAAATGACATTTTACATCATGAGAATTGTTAAAATAGCAAGCCCTTAAAAAAGAGTTCAAAATGAGATTTTATATCATGAGAATTGTTAAATAGAAAATTCTGCAGCAAATAAAGCTTGCACTTTTTCAAAAAATAACAAAAGGTGTACTAGGGTGAAAATGCTTGAAATTCTAAAACGTTTCACGGACACAAAACTTGCTTTCTAAATGTTAAATTGCTATCATGATAATATGAACAGAGCATGTGAATTAATATGAATACACAAATGAGAAGGGAAATTAAACTTCATCAAATATATACAGTGGTAAAATGTACTCATCAAATCCCAGTCTTTCCCTTTTTTGATATGTGGCTTTGTAGGTGAAACTGGATACAGGTATTCGTAAGTGATTTCAACCAATTTAAATATTACAGAATTAAATGTGTTAAATTTATGCATAGTTTGAAGAGTAAAAGAAAAGAGGATGGGGTTTGAACCATATGCTGTAGTGAAGATCAAACTCATGACTTTCAGATGGTGGACCCTAAACAAAATGGTATGCTCAAATTTGTCCGACATATAATCTTATCACGGAAACTCTTACTCTGTGGTTCTTAAATAGGAAAAATTCTGAGCAAAATAATTCCAATACAAGTATTCAGATACCTGAAAGTAGCTTTAGGAAAACCGCTCCCATCATTGTCCTTGGTTTGACTGCAATTGAACAAAGTAACTGCCATTAATGTTCATTAAAGCACTATTAGTTGAAAGATACTAGAAGTATTACAGCATAGATTAACTATCTAACTACATAGCCAGGTTGTCATATTTATTTAGAGACTGCATTTTTTTTCATCATCTTATAAGCTATATAGCCATGAAATGTACAAACCAGTTTGAAGATCAAGCATCTGTATTAGCATAAATGTTATATTCACACCAGCTACAGCGAATGGATATTCCCAATCAGATCGGTTGCCCTCTAGCTTTCGGAGAAGATCCTGAAAGGTTTTCTGCATGAAAAAGAGTTACCTCAGCTATTTAGATGGAAGGCAGCTTAGATGAATATAGGTCTTCAAGATAGTAGATTATCATATTGCAGAATTTAAAAAGTCTTCAGTCACTATAATTTTTCTAAGACCAGCATTCAAACTGAATAATTTATTTAGATGTCACATATGTGCAAGTATAGCCTTACCAAGGTTAATGATGATAGATTATTACTAGATATATTTATGATGATATATAATGACTTTCGTTGTTGTTGTTGTCATCGTCATAACACAATAACCCTAAAACAGGAAGTACTACTCATGATACTCATGGATAGTATAGGCACAAGCCAATGCTTTCTTTACTAACATTTTGAGATTAGCTCTCAGCTAAAAACAAGCAGTGACACATGTTCAAGTAAGGAAATAATCTCCCAATGGGGAACTTGTGAACACTACAATTACTGCTTCGTTCTGGTTACATTCTGTATTTATCAGTGTATCACACAGAGTAAAAATTAAGAAAAAGCACTTACAGGATAAGTCTTTGCAAAGAACAGCAGATTCTCCAATGATATGAAACCACCACCCCTGCAATAAAGATCAAGAACCATTTGTCAATTGTAAATCTGAAAACAAGTGAACTGAGAATCAAGGCATAAATCCAAGCTTACATTGTTGATGCAACAAATATCATATACCTGAAATCTGTAGACGGATCTTTTCCTTGCCATCCCATTTCCTTCCATTGTTCAGATATCAAACCTCTGAGTTCAACTTCAGGAAAAGCTGCACGCCAGAGAGCTCTTAAGGCTTCCTACAAGTTTCAAAATTGGAAGTGATGGCAATGTTAAAAGACTTGTCAAAAATTAGAGCATTTTATTTGCATTTACAAGATGAAAAGACAACTATCAAATTGAAAGGTCAAAATAATCCAGACCAATAACAAATTGGCTAAAAATATATTACTTTGCTTCTTCTCCTAAGGAGGTACTGTGGACTTTAATATATGTGCATGCATGTTAGAAAAATACATCCTCCCTTGGACAAACCAAATAGGAAACAGATCTAGTGTTCATGCATGTCAGAAAGTGCATGTTCTAACATCTCAACCAAATCAGAAATAAATTAAAGAAAAGATATGGGTCATCGCACCTTATTGTTCATCTTCATAGATAGAAATGAATCAAGATTTGTATGTATTTCTTTGCTTAATATACCATGCAAATGCTTATATAAATCAAGAGTAATGTAATGATTTAACACAGAGGGGAGAGTCCCAACTGTGGAGATGGAATCCATGGCAATGGAAGTATTTTGGAAGAATGACTCTAAATCTTTTGCCCTTTATGCTCAGAGGCATAGAGTTTGAACCCATCTTACCCCTTATTTAGGGTTCTTTGAAAGGTAATAAAAGGTTCTTCCTCTCCCCCTTTCCTTTTTAAAATATACGAAGTTCTAATTTCCAGCAAAAATTACTCGCAGAAATCTGGTCCTGGGAAGCAGAGTTAAGCACAATGGATGAGGTTTAGAATATAAATTCTAAAAACTCTCTGGTTTGTGAAAAAAATTTCCCCTCTTCTTAAGAACTATGTAATGGGATATGGAAGGCACGATTATGTGAGGGCAAAGCAACTTCGACTTTTTCTATTGTAAATTGAGGTTATATACAAGGCATTGGTTACTTTCTTTTTTACTTTTCTCTTCGTTACTGGCAACTTGTAATACTATAAGTTAACCTGATGTGTGGTGTTGTTTGCATCTGAAAATCATACCATATTATAGGAAGGAGTTATGCCACAAAACCGACTCTTAAGAAGCAACCAATAAGAAGATGCCACGTGTCTAGCCAAGAGGTCAGTAACAAAGCCAGATGACTAAGCATCATCTCAACCAGTCGAGGTCCTTGACTCCTTGTTTACACTAACAGAGTCTGGACACTATAAAGGTCACAATCCGAAGACTACCTCTTCCAGAACAGCACATGTCAGAAGCAATGCAAAAACAGTTCATCATCAGAATGACAGAATCACATAATGAAAATAACCCAAGGTACTAATTATTACTGACCCCCACATTACCCTTCCAATTCTCTAACCAAGCAAACAGTGAACTTACTTAAAATTACTTAACAGAAGCAGGCAATAATACCTACTGAAGATAACAAAAAATTTATATACTGCAATTATTTTAGAAGATGGGATACAGTAGCATATTGTCCTTCAAAAGAACTAAACACTGGTCAAAAATAAATCCATTTGTCTCCCAATCTATGTTGTTACCTAATATGCAAATTAGCACCTCTATTATTCAAATACTTCCAGCAGAAAGAATGAAGGGAATGGGAATAGGCTTTAAGAGAACGCAAAGAAGGTATTTAAGGTAGAAGCTTTACAATGATAGTTAGAAGCATAGGCATAATGCCTCAAATGTCAGTGAAGATGCTAGTCACAGAGAAAGTACGATACCTATTTGAGGCTCAATAACAGGTATACTGAAAGATGGCTCCAGAAAAATGCGATGTACAGAGAGATTTGCAGTTTCAAGGGGTGAATGGACTAGATTGTAGATGCACAATTCTGCTGTTCCTGTTGGTCAGAAACCTTTTTCTGGAAATAAATGGCTTTGGATACTCAATTAAATAACGAAACTTGGGAATTTATTAATGTACAGGTTCTCCCTGCTAAAAAAACTGTTCATACATTTGAGTTGCTCTTTTTTCTTATATATTCTTGTGAAGAATACAGTTTTGACTAGTACATTTGCTGGTGTCCCTTGTATCCTGCATGTCAAAAACCATGGAGGAAAATTGATGCCAAATCACCCGCTTAGCCCATGATCATAAGTTTCCGGAATGAAGCAAATCAGTCAAAGATTCAACCCTTTTTAAGATCAAGTTTACCTTTCAGATAGATATTAGTCCCTATTAGTTCATATTTTGTGCTCGAGTTGTACTAAGTCTTACTCAGTAGCCATTTGTTTTCAGAACGGACCAGTCATTCTTTATGTTGTAAGTGGTTTTTTGGTGGTTAGAGTTAAAAATGCTCTTCTACATGTGTCCAGGTAGCCATTGTTATGTTGTGCATATTTTGATGAAAATTTTGATTGCCTTACAAGAGATTGAAGTCTTCTTCTCTGATTGAAGTTGTTGGATGCAAAATTGCGGGTGAAACCTAAGCTTGATGAAGTGAAATCTTCTTTCCTGCTGCCTTAAATATCTGTGTTTCAGTTCTTCCTCCAACCTATTTCTTTATACCATATTTAGTCATTTAACCTCAATATCTAGAAATGCTATCAACTCTTCAACCCTAGGTAAATCCTAACAATAGGTACCAATCTAAACTTTATCAACACCTTAATCATCATCTAAGCAACCGTACACTAATTCCATGCCATGTTAACAATGACATGTAGCTTGGTGGGAAGTATGTGAAACCGGGACAAATGAATCCTCATTATATCCAATTTAGTCTCATATGAAGCTTTATCTTAACCACCTTTTGTTTGCATCAAGCTTCTGTAGAAAAAGTGATAATACATTTATGTATTTCCTTTAAAAGCATGCATTAGTGTACTTAAAAATGCTACTTGTATACATGCATTGCTTGTAATTTTGATGTTTTCTCTCTTTAAACATGATGCATCAGTATTTAACCAAAATCTATGCCAATTTAACAAATTTATTAATTTTACAGGGGTGTCCTTTTCCAAGAATACATACATTTAAAATGAATTGAACATGAAAGTAAGTAGCAAATAAAATGCTATTGTTAATAGCAAATAACATGCAATTATTAGCACAAAACTCTGATGAAAAACACAACCTGAACAAATCGCTAGTAAAAATTTCATAATGGCATGGCGTATAAGTAGGATAAGTTTGGACATGATAATCAGGAAACCGACAAGGAAAATGAAATGCTGAATGGCATTAGTACCTGGTGCTCAATCTTGTTACTGTCATAAGTAACATCTATGCGTTCTTGTAGCCTCTGTAGACATTCCTCCTGAGCACAAAAATGAAATCACTCACGTCAGTCAGTATTGACAATTAGCCTTCCCAATGTATACAATGATTAATAAAAAAACTTAAGATGAAAATGAAATTGTCCATTAGATGGTCAGCAATAGGATGCAAAAATTTGCTATGAGTCATGCTGTATAGCTCTTTCATATGCTATACCGCAGGATAAATTTTTTCCCCCTCATGTTCTTTCTCCCTTCTTTCTCTTTAACTTGTTCATACATTCACAAGTCTAAAAAATGATGAGAGGTTATGTATCTGTACAAAAACTCACCATGTCAAAAGGATTTCACCTATGAAAATGGAAACAAACATGAAAATAACTTTTCTAGGAAATTAGGGCTTTTAATAAAGCAACAAAAAGACCATTGCAAAGCCTCTGACATTATACTAATCAGTATATATATTTCTTTTGGCATTCACACTATAATATTAATTATATAAAAAGGAATGTAATTCCCCTTAATGAAACTTATGAGTCATCCTTGTGACATGTCATAGGGCTACTTTGATGGAATAGATCTTAAGGCCTTATCTGCTCAGGGTTGTCCTTGCCAGAAAATTGGCACCAGCTCCTGGAGGGCTAGTGTCAACTTCATAGAGCTTTCTCGACATCAAAGTTTAAAATCATCTCCACAAAGGACACCCTTTTGATGAAGGCCTGGATGATGACTAGCACTCTTGTATCCAATATCTAATTATTCATAAGGGAGAAAATAGATGAGTCCCAAACACAGAAGATTAAAGCCAACTGGAAATCCAAAGCTTCCTTCAACATGGCTTATTATCGTCATTGAGTAACAGGTTTAGGGTTGTGTTGGTGAAGTGTTCTTCACAGAGGCTATAATTGTACTTGGTGAGGATCTCCATGGTGAAGAGGCACTGGAGTTTGAGGATGTTGTACACGTGCTAAGTATGAGAGAATAACTAGGTTAGGGTTTATGAGGGGATTAGGGTGGAGGAAAGATTAAAGGTGGTGTTTTGGATCCAAGCAAGGGGAAACAGTCATTTTTTTAAAATTCACCGTAACAGAAAGGGATGAACATTTCCCTTTTAATCTCAAATAGTAACTGAGATGGATAAAATCATAGTTTAATAAATGATTTGGAGGGTGAATTGGCAGATATGGCGATCACATTGGAGCTCTGTTTTCAAGATTCATCAGAACTGAATCTGAAAGCCTTTAGGTGTGTAGTACTAGAAACTGTAGTTGTACCTCTCTTTTTGACAGAATCCAGAAACACCAATCCAAGGAATCATATTATACAAATAAATTTTTATACATGAAATCTCAATATTAACCCACTGAAGCAACTGCAAGTTCCATTTGCTGACTGATGAGTGTTCAATGCCAATCACATTAGTTTAGGCAAGATGGCCTAATCATAATCAGATGGAATACTTTAGCCCTCTCACTCCATACATAGATCCATGTAATCTTCTCAGCTAACAAATCTTCTCCTGGATGAAAGCCTACAAGCATTCAAACTCCAATCCTATAATTTTTCAAATGTGTGGTTTTTCGTTATTCATCACAACAATTTCATTCCTTGCTTCTCCTTCACTCCACAGCCCACACAAACAAGTTCAATAGATGCCCACACAAATGATTGCCTGAATATGTAGCAAATTCACTAAGTACAACTGAAATTTAATTATTACCTCACAAGATTGCATTCTATAGCAAGCTACATTGAACACAAGTGAATTCATGTTTACCTTGCCTTAACAATATTAACTGTAAACAAACAACATTGCAGGAAAGAAAGCTTCAAGGAATCACACCTAGTTGGAGCTAGTTCTAGTCATCCTTGCAAAACTACAATCTGAATAACACAACACATAGGATGACAATACTAAGTTTTTTTAAATTAAACATTAAACATAAAATTAATTCAAGTTATTAGTTACACTTTAATGCTTCTACAGGCTCAACAAGTTCCTCTAATAAAACCTTAATATCGTCATGAAGCGAGAAATTTCATGTCAATGTAAACCATGCAAGGAATGTCAAACCAACAGTTTATTCAAGTCCTTACATCTACAAGCAAACTTCCCTGAGGTCTTCTTGAGTATGCCATACAAACTTTAAATTACTAAGAAAAGATTGACCCTGGTTATATATTGATTCACTGTCGGAGAAGATATGGACCTGGATAAAAACGTGAAATTCATTGCCAAAGGAATTATAAGCACCTCAGTGTTCCTGAGGGCTCTCAAGTATCTTTTTAAAAGCATTCTTACAAAATTTAAACTGAAGGGTTTTCTTTGCTAGCCAAAGAAGACTAATTAATTTATTTATCACCACATCATTTCTCCACTGTGACAACTAAAGTAACCTGGTTTGCAAGAGATAAAAGTATTAGTCTAGGATTTATCTGTAAAAGAATAGTCATATAATGTGATGCTTGTTCACTGACAAGTGTGAAGTATCCACACTGTGCTTTCAACAATTCTGCTACTACAAGTTTGGACGTACTTGCACAATGAAAGAAAGGCCAGATAGCAAAGACATTTACAAGAAAACTGTCATAAATACGTAAACAGTTTAGAAGTTAACATTTAATTAGTAAAAAAATGAAGTGCAAGATAACCTGCAGAAGAAAGTCTAACTAAATTCTACTGCAAGTTCATAAACATTCTGTTAGTACCATTAAAACGAAAAAGAAAAAAGAAAATCATCTTGAATACACTAGCTAAAAGTAAACAAGATGCAGCGCATTATCTAATTTCAGTGTTTCTCAGTGCAACTGCACACAGAAGATTACCTGAGAAGGGGTTAGATCAAATGATAGGCGTGCATCACTTTCTCTTCTCTGAGCACAAACACAAGAGAGGCCCTTCCCGATCCATGCTGTTGACCCTTCGGCTATGGCAATACAACGCAAAAGATATCAGTTTCAGCATTCTATATCTTCGTGATATGATCAAATCATTAAATATTCTCAATCAGTTACAGAAAAATACTTAAATCATTCAGATTATGTACATATGTACAAATATATGCAATATGCTTCAAAATATTTTTCTCAACAATTACAATCACTCAGTCAGCTCCCTATTCTTGCCATTACATCTTTAAATTATCTTCGATCAATTTTCATGAGAAAATGTGAAGCGCAGCTGCACTGACATAGGGCCTACAGTATTGAGTGATGCTTATTGTATGTTCTTTGTTAGTAATACTGACAAAAATAATCTAATTCTACAAAGTTTTAAAATAAATCAGTTTCTGCACGTGCATTTTCGCTCTTTAATTCCCCATATTTCATTCCAAAAAACTTCCAAATACTGCAGTACGATACTTTTCCTTTATTAACGATCCAGACTGACTATCAAAAAGTTAATCCTAGTATCCTACTGCAAGCCCATAGGAGATACTGATCCCTGCTTTTACATAATACTCTGTATCGTTCCTCTCATTTCAATTGTAATATATTGTCATTATATTCAATTGACTGCCTTTTATCTCTCCGGCAACCTCAAGCAACATCCACATTCATCATGACTTTTTCCCGAACAACGACCAGGTTCCTCCTCTCCACTCTAAATTTCTGATAAGTGTTGACAGTTGAAGACCCCACCCAAAAAAAAAACTTATAAATTAGTGTTAAACTCTTTAATAGTACATATCTTCAAAGACTGGAATCCCTTCTCTTTTACTTTTTCCTTTTAACCTCAAGTTCCGAGAATAAGTATTTATTACGTGCCTCAACTGATCCTCTCAATGCAAAATCATACGATTTTACAATCCTCCATACAAAAATTGCCATCTTCACCAATTTGATTCATTCTAACTAAGTCCCAATATTGATGTCAGCCACAAGTTTCTACAGATCCTCTCAACTAAGAATTTTCAGTATACAGTACATTAACATTTTCACACAAAAAAAGACCTATAAAGACAAAAACCTAGAAAATTACCCCGATTCAGCTCAAGATTCCTTCAAATTACACCCAAAGTCCTTCTAAAACGGCGAAATTACAACAGTTTTGAAAAATCCAATTAAAAATCTCTCACCAAACGCTAACTGACACAAACCGGCAACCAAACCGAAATTTTGAACTAAACTACTCAAAATATAGAGGTTAATTACCAGAAGAGGAATGGCATCCGCTGCTTCGATCGATTCCATGCGAGTGCCTTCTCACCGCCACGAGCTCGTCCATTCTCCTCCCCCTCTCCTTGCCTCTAGATCGCCGCTGCCGCCGCCACGGGTCGAGGCTCGCCGGAGTCGTCCATGCCGACAGAGATCAAGAATCGACCGTGAGACTTCTAGTGTTTCCTTCTTGGATTTCCAAATCTAGGTTTTGACGAGATCTTGAGACGGGGGTCGCTGCCTTTTCTTCCGAGTTCGCCTTTTTAAGGACACGGCGCGTTTTTTTCTGCTGCTCCTCTTTTCTTCCGTCTTCTCTCGAGATTCAGGAGGGCGGATCTTTATTCGTTTTTATTTTATATATGGTAAAGGTTTTATAATTATTTCGGTGGGGGTTACAAAATCTCGAATTAATAAAAATAATTAATAAGTTAATATTTTGTAGGAAGTTTGGACTCTATCACAAAAGACCCTGGCATTTGATGTTATTGGGATATAGCTTTATTCTACTTTTGGTGATGGACCATCAGCTGCAAAGAGTGGGAGCACGTTATGGTGGTCCTATATATGAGTGTTGAAGTTTCTAAAAAATTTATAAAAGCTGATAAATTATTTCGCGGGAAGCTAAAGGAACATGCCCTCTGTTGTATCCTCAAAATTACTAAGTATAATAAACCCTTAAGAGTTGGTCACGTGTCAAGTCAATGGGCCAGGTCCTATAAATCCGACATGGGTGTGAGCACCCCCAATCTCTGTAGTAGTCTGAGTCCAAGACAAAAAAATGTCTTCAAGCTGGGATCTGTTAAAGGAATTCGAGTTTGAGACGTCTTCTACGAGTAGATTTTACTAGAGAACGTCTCGAACGACTGAATGACATATCAGCTTCACCAACATCATTCACATTTAACGAATGGTCAGTCGGAGCCCATACTTCGCTGCCCAGTTGCCATCGCATTAAATGCATGGCTAGAGTGGTTTTGACTTCTCGAGCTGAAGTTATAATGACTCCTCGGATGTCGCTGGCACTTCCTCGGACGTCGCTGGCACTTCTGTCATTTGCTCACTATCACATCTAATGCAAAGATGATTCATTCAACCGACCACCGATACATGTAAACTGCAATCTTTTCGATAGACTGCACCAACCCAATCAAATTACCAATGTGCCCTCACGAATTCTCTATAAACGATGGATAATCCTACTACACCAAGGTATGTTGGGATAAACCTTGAACTAGATCCTACATTCTGATAATCAACTTATTTGTCGCTGACTTAATCGTCAAAGGGCACACCAGGAGAAATGTTCTCTGATTCTCTAACAAGTGTTACAGGTGCAGGGATTTGCTTCCTCTTGATTAATCAGCTTCAGAGAAGATTAATAGACCATAATCTCCTCCACATATCCACCCACTCATACAATTAATTTTCGATATAAACACCCTCTAATTAATTCTTTAATAAATTCCTTTACGAATCTGGTTTTATTCTCACTCATACAATTAACTTTCTGACATAAACATCCTCTAATTTATTTCAGTAAAATTCCTTTACAAATTTGGTTTAATATCAATTTTGGTTTTATGGTGATAATTGGGGAGCAACTACATATCTTGATTCTTGATTGTTTAACTTATTCCTATTACCAAACATAATTATTTGTTTATGTCTAAACAAAACCCTAATAAACTATACCGGATACATTGTCATTTTTTACGGGAATAAAAATATTTTTTTATTTTTATTTTTATTTTTTTGTTATAGTTCAAAATCGAACCCAAAAACTGTTGGAATCATATTGAAAACACTTAACCGTCTATAATTGATATGAATATGATCATACAAGTTAAAAACGTGATAATTAGATAACAATGATTAACCTTTAAACATGACAATATATTTTTGTCAAAAAAACATAAATTAGTGTGATTTCAATTTTTTTCAAAATTTTTATTTTATTTTATTTTATTTTATTTTAACGAAAAACCTTGTAGATCCTGACTTGGCCCGCAACCTTATACCTCATCCAATCAAAAGCTTCATATGTGTCCAATATCAAAATGAGTGATGTACACTTGAAAGCTTAGCTTATTACCATGAAATCAGTGGTCCAAAAAATTGTAGTTGCTAACAGATGCTTTAATTGAAGTAATTGGAATAATCCACTTCAACAAAAGTTTTAAATGACACATTTGGCGGTTTAAAATAATTTGGTCTGACAATATTTAATTGAGTAGCGCTAGCAGGACCCGAAAATGGGACAGGTCCATAGGACAGTACATATGGCAAGCTGGCGTGTCAATTGCAACTAGTGTTAATTAATGATAATTAACTCCCAATTAAGGGTATTTTTTCCGAAATTTTCTGCTTCCCTCCAAATTATTTTGGTTCTGAATTTGAACAAGCTCAGCAGCGCTGAGCTTGTGACGTTGCTGCAGTACCACATGCTACCGAGTTATTCTCTGAAGGCGTCGCTGAAGGGAACTGATCATCTCATCGCCACCATTGCCACGAGTGGAGCTGGTAAGTTTGATCTAACTGTGAGTTCTCATGGCGATGATGTGAGCTTGGAGACTGGGATGGGGAGTTCTCGCATTGCGGAGACTGTTCTTGATGATACTCTAGTCTGTATTTTGACTGTGGATAGTATGTTGCTGCCGTCAGAGTTGTTCAGTGAGGCTCCGGTGCCGGCGCCTGGACCTGCGAGCTTGAGTCTGTCTCCAGCACCTGCGGTGGCTTCTCCTGCTCCTGCTCCTGCACGGGAGAGCCCGAAGGCTCCTTCGCCGATAGCTGAGTCGCGCCGGCTCCTCCAATGCTTTATCAAATGTGGAAAAGTTAAGGAGGAAGAAGACGGGTCTAAGCTTAAAACTCTGAAAACACCTTTAATTTCCTTTTCCATTTTATTGGAATACCAAAAAGTATGATAAATATGGAAAAATTTTGTCCACCTCAGTTGTCCCATAGATTGGTCTCCTAATTTGGGTCCAAGAAGAATTATTCTATTTAATTATCTAAAGTCGATGATACAAATGATCATTTTCATTCTTTCTTCGGGTTAGCATTTTAAAGTTAACACTGTCAAATTGACTATTTGTATTATGAGGAACAAAAAGGATGTTATATTCTGAACCAAAGTTTCAGGTACTTTCACATAAAGATTTATACTTTTATAATCTAATCTCACAATTTATTATTGACTATGCCTTTATTAGAACAATCATTCAAATCGCCAAGTAGATTTCAACTAATGAGAGTTACTCAAGTAGTTTGAAGGAAAAATAAGGAAAGAATACAAAAGTGTTAAGAATATGAAAGGAAAAATAAAAGAGCAAAAAAGGAAAAAGGAAATAAGAGGTGCAAAGTGAATAATTGGTAAGTCGACTCACGTGTCGTCAGGACATAGTAGTTGTGGGCGGTGACTAGACTCCTAGATCTTAGGAATGTTATGGGTTTCACCCTAGTTATAGGGTGATGATAAAAAAGCATCTTTAAAGTTTAATTTATATACAAAAATTATTTTTAAAAAGTGTTTCCGATTACAGGCTGCAATCAACCACACTGATCTATTTTTTTTAATGGAATTTCAATTTAAAATTTCAAAATACCCTTAAAAACACGTGTCAGGCAAGTGACATCTATCTATTGATCAAGATTGGCATATTTTTCAAGGGCATTTTGGAAATTCTAATCAAAGTTTCCTCGTAAAAGAGGACCCAAGTGGTTGATTGTAACAGGAAATCCCTCTAAATATGATTTTTTGTGTAAATTAAACTTAAAAAATAGTCGTTTTATTTTCACCCTATTTTAAAAGGTGATTTTTGTGAGAAAAAAAACATTTCTTATTGTGATTGAATATTGACCCCGGCGATGCATACAATATCCCCCTGGCCCAATACCCTTAATTGGTTCTGGTCACCGGAATTGAAATTAAGAAAGTTTTATTAAAGGAGAAGAGAGGAAAGTTAAGATGTGTAAGAATTCAAATTAGATTGGATATGACCTTTATCATATTCATCTCAATTTTGTAATAACATATATGGATATAAATACAAAAATTAACATTTAGATATCTACTATTTCTAACTTAAAGCAAAATATCAAAAAATCTGTTCATGCTACAGTAAACACTATTCTTGCTATAACATGATCTAGAATATTAAAATTAATATTATTCATGATACGTAATATTTAGATCTCTTGTTTACAATGTGCTTTTTTTTCCTATAAGCATTATTCATGCTACATTATGATTTTTGAATCTTAAAACATACTATATATGCTACAATAAAATTTTGGCCTATTATCCATTGCTCAAACTGAAATAACATTTTTTAACCTTGAAAATACTATTCATAACTCTTTTTTTTTTTTTTTGCTTTTCCAGATGATGAATTTAACATTTATTAGAAATTTCACAAATATAAATCTTTGCTGGCTCTATTATATAAAATTGATAAAACTTGCTAATTGGTATACTATTTTGTTAAATGGTTTTAAAATTCACTCTCTAAATAGTAGTAAAAAAATTGTAACTAATGTTTCTATAAGCAGTTATTTATAAAAATCATATTATCACTTTGGTGATAGATATATCACGATAAATAATACCCGTAGGAATGCGCGGGCATAATACTAATATAGGATATGAAAAAAACTAATAAACCTCAAAAGTAAATGTAGTAAATACACTGCATGCTATAGGAGCTGTCTGAATAAAACAAAATTTCTGAAACCATTAGTATGGTCAATATGTTTACAAAATTAAAGTTAGATATCTGCGTCACGAAAATTAATTTTAGATACCCCAAGTTAAGATTAAAATAGTTATTAACACGACCTCTTGTTTTTTTAAGCATTGCATTTTAGACCTACCTCCCTCTAATATTTAATACAGTTAATTTGATTATTGCATGCTTAAAATTAGAAATCATATTTACTGTTCTATACTTAAAAGGATATCGTTCATGATACCGTAAGTTACTGCAGCATGGACAGTATATTTACTCTCTACACTTATAGGACCCAATATTACTGTTCGTGATATAGTAATTTAATGTAGTATTATTGTAGCATAATTTACTCTCAATACTACAGAACCCAGAGATTTGTGGTTCATGATGTAGTAACTGACTATATTATTACTATAGTATGAACAATAAATTTTTACATATAGAGGAGTAAATATCTGATATTCATATCTGTTCCCTAGTCCTATCAAAATTTTAAGATGTATATACACTATATTTGTACGCTTTTGCATCGCCACCACTTCGCCATCCGGAAAGACAAACTTGCCCTTCGCTGTCAGCCCATGTAATCAAGCAGACATTCCATATCCATGGGCATATA